GCGGGCCAGCCGGGGGGGGGGTCTGGAAGGATCGGGGAGGCATTTAAATGCCTCCCCGGCCTGTCCAAGGGCCAGCTTGCCTGGGCTCCCCGCAGGCACGGGGTGCCCGGGCAAGCCAAGGGAAGGCATGGGGTGTGGCCTAATAGGCTAATGAGCTGTGCTGTCATGGGGTATGGCCTAATATGCTAATGAGTTCCCACTGGGCTTTTTCTACCAAAAAAAACCCTGGTCATCTGAATATGAGTTCTAATTCTGGGAGGTCCCCAGGCCTGACATGGAGGTTGGCAACAAAACCAATGACCCACATTGGAATGACAGTGGTGGATATTAGAAAGTGAGCACGGAATGTGGGGTTAAGGCACTGAGCCTCCCTGGGTAACCTTTCATTTGAACGTGTGACGCTATCTTTTCCTGAGTCTGGCCATCTATCTCACTATTTGTCGACTCTGACATCATCTCCCCAGGGTCCCAGGCAGAGAAAGGCCCTTCCCACCAGCTTCTACCTGAGACCCTATAACGAAGAAGACCAGGGTCTGAAAGATGCTGAGATCATTTGCGTGCAATGTCCTCCACAGATCCATAGCCCCTTCCCACCAACGTCTGAAATTGCCTTTGACCAGGGATCATTTCATTCATTCCTACCTCACAGGGTGTCTGTTGTGGGGAGGGGAAGGGAAAGGAGTTTGTAAGCCGCTCCGGGACTCCTTCGGGTAGTAAAGGGCGGAATATAAATCCAATCTCTTCTTCTTCTTCTTAAGTAGGAGCTTCCTCAGGAAGCTAATAACAATAATTCTGTCTTATAATTCTAATCATTCCTTCTCTCTGCTGTTGCTGTGGAGAATGTGCAGATTTAAATGCTACGAAGGAGGCTGGGCACGAAAGCTGAGAAATTATCTCCACTTCCTTCTACCACTACAGCAAAAAAACCATCCAACAGTTATGACACAACAAATATCCAAACTGTGGGGAACCCCCCCCTCCCACACACACACACTGTGCTGGTATGTGACCATCCAAGACAAACACCGGCATCTCTGCCAAACGGGGAGCCAGCCCCGTCTGCTAACTGTCTGGTGTTTCTTAGCCTCTCCGTTCCTTCTCCATTCAAGCGCCGGCGTGAGAATAATGCGAACAGCGACCCGGCCTAGAGAGGGACAAAGGCACGCTTCTTGCTGGAAAGCAGTTGGCCTACTTTCTTATTTTAACGGCCCGGCTCACAATGAGGTTGGACAGAGGAGAAGCGGAGTTGCCAGAGGCCTTGTTTCTACACACACACACCAAAGCCAAGCAAGCGTTAAGAGTCTGAAAGGTTCACAGAAATTGCCACTGCCTATCGGACAATTCGCTCCACTGCGTGCAGAAGCGCACGCGTGTTCCAAGAGTGAGCGAAGGCTCCTCCACCACTCATCCCTGGCTGGAACGACATTATCCAAAACGCGTGGCTGCCGCTGAAAATGGCAGCTGTGTGTCTCATTCTCCACCGTGATGTTTCACACGGCTTACCTTCTGTCCCACTGTCACAATATTATTCATTTTCATACAGCTTCCTCCCAAACGATAGGCAAGCATGCACAGTTGGGGGTGGTTTTTTTGTACAACTGAACATGTTTGGACTGTTTTAAGACAGGCAAACAGCTTCCCAAACCAAATGGCTGAGCGGCTTGAGCACCGTTGTGCTTGGCGTTCCGTGCCTCGTACAGCAGGCTCAGTTCTCATCAGGCAGTTCGGAGCAGTCTTTCTGTTTTGCTTTGGATCATTTATAAAGTTTCTGCATACCTGTGGAATCCCCAAAAGATGCAGAAAACCCCTCCCTTGTCTGTGAGTTTCTGTGTTTTACTACTACTACTACTCTACTCTAGGAACTTTTGCATTTGGGGGAGTCAGTTGAGACCCACAAAGACGGGCTGTGGCTCAATGGTAGAGCCTCTGCTCGGCATGCAGAAGGTCCCAGGTTCAACCGCCAGCAGTGTTCCCTCTAAGAAGAAGAAGAAGAAGAGATTGGATTTATACCCCGCCCTTCACTTGGAGTCTCAGAGCGGCTTACAAACTCCTTTCCCTTCCCCTCCCCACAACAGACACCCTCTGTGAGGTGGGTGGGGCTGAGAGAACTCTGACACAAACTGCTCTTTCAGGAACAGCTGTGCCAGAGCTTGTGACTGACCCAAGGTCACATCAGCAGGTGCAAGTGGAGGAGTGGGGAATGAAACCCGGTTCTCCCGCACACACTTAAGTCCGCACACTTAACCACTACACCAAACTGGCAGACCCCTTTACCCCCACCCGGGGTTATTAAATGGTGCTTGCGGCCGCTGAACTGTATTATTTAACCTAATTCTGCCACCGCAAGGGCCAAGCCTCTGCTTAGGCCCATGCGCCCACTCAAACACCTAGGAGTAACCTAAGCCCTTGCCGTAAGTCCTGAAGGAAGATGTAATTTCCCTTCTCGGAAAGGTGCACACCATCCCCTCTGTACAGATCTGGAAAATCAAGTCGAATCTGGGGATGAGGCAAAAAGTGGCCCAAACCAACCTTCAACATTTTATAAAATTCTCTATTGGCTCTACGCCGAGCCCCCTCGATCCCCCTAGGGTCCAAAGCGTCACGCCAAACCCGGCGTGAAATCATGGCCGACTAAAGAATTGTTGTGTCTGGCCAACGGCGCTTAATGCGCTCCAGGTCCTCCCTGGCCTGTAACACAAGGGCCTTCCCCTTCATGAATCCGAAGTCATTACCCCCTAGGTGGATGACCAACACCTCTGGCGGCAAGGCTGAACTGGCCTGAAACAAAAGAGGGAGAAGGCCTGGCCAGCGAAGGCCCCGGCGGCCCCTCCATTCTACAGTAGCCCACTGGCTGAGGCCCAGTTGCGAACCGATGGCCGATCGATTGGGCAATGGTGGGGGGGCTTTTGGTGGGGGCAGTTTGGCGCCCCTAAGGGCCAGCGTGTTCTAGGCGAACACCTAGTTCGCCTAGTGAGCGAGCCGGCCCTGCATTGACCGCCAGCATTTCCAGTTTAAAAGGACCAGGCAGGAGGTCATGTGAAACACCTCAGCCTGAGACCTTGGAGGGCTGCTGCTGCTCTGAGTAGAAAATACTGGCCCTGATGGCCCAAGAGTCTGATTCAATAGAAGGCAGCCTAAATGGGAGGCTGTGGCAAAGTGGCGGAGCATCTGCTTGGCATGCGGAAGGTCCCAGGTTCAACTGGAGGCCTCACTTCAAAAAGGAAGTGGACAGAATGGAGCGGGTGCAGAGCAGAGCGGCGAGGATGATCAGGGGCCTGGAGACCCAGCCCTGTGAGGAAAGGCTGAGGGACTTGGGGATGTTCAGTCTGGAGAAGAGGAGGGTGGGGTGGGGGACACATGATTGCTCTCTTGAAGTATTTGAAGGGCTGTCACTCAGAGGAGGGCAGGGAGCTGATCCTGTTGGCAGCAGAGGAGAGGACTCGCAAGAATGGGTTTAAATTAAGGGTGGGAAGGTACCCACTGGATCTTAGGAGAAACTTTTTGACAGTCAGAGTTGTGCCACAGTGGAATCAGCTGTCTAGGAAGGTAGTGAGCTCCCCCTCGCTGGCAGTCTTTAAGCAGCGGCTGGACAAACACTTATCAGAGATGCTCTAGGCTGATCCTGCATGGAGCAGGGAGTTGGACTAGATGACCTCTATGGCTTCCTCCAACTCTGTGATTCTATGATCCCATCTATGAGCCAGTTTGGTGTAGTGGTTAAGTGTGCGGACTCTAATCTGGGAGAACCGGGTCTGATTCCCCACTCCTCCACTTGCACCTGGCTGGATGACCTTGGACAAGCCATAGTTCTGTCAGAGGTGTCCTTGAAAAAGAGCAGTTTGTGTCAGAGCTCTCTCAGCCCCACCTGCCTCACAGGGTGTCTGTTGTGGGGAGGGGAAGGAGATGGTAAGCCGCTCTGAGACTCCAAGTGAAGGGCGGGGTATAAATCCAATCTCTTCTCTTCTCTTCTTCTTCTATGGTAAGTAAGTGGTGTGAAAGAGCTCCACTGGAGACCCTGGAGAGCTCCGGCCAGTCTGAGCAGACAATACCGACCTCGATGCACCCGATGGTCGGATTCATTATAAGGAGTGTGTTATGGAACAGATAGGAAGCGGTTACCCATCCGCTTTCACAAAGAAGCCTCTTGGCATTGTGCTGCTTCCATCAACAAAACAGCACCAAATGAACATTCGGCGGTTGCGTCCCTAAAGAGCCACTCACCTGTTTGTTGGGGTGGGACCTGTCAAAGCCCAAGACCAAGTCTGGAATCTGGCTGTGCAGCAGCAGATCCGCCGCTCTGAACGGGACTGAGAAGCCCTGGATGGTGTTGCAGAAGTCCGTGGTGAGCCAGAGGTACTGGGTGGAGGCGTTGATGAAGATATACTGGAGAAGGGGAGAGAAAGAGAGAGCAGGGAAGAGAAAGGGAAAATTCACTCGGCCGCCACAAATTAGCAGACAGATCTTTGCAGAATGGTGCAGGATGGAAAAGATGTGCACTGGAATGATAAAAGACCACCTCTGGTAAATCTACAGATTGAGCGCCTTGGAACTCTTCCCGGTATTTGGACGTACAGATGGCAACTGCATACGGACTTATTTTGAGATATTTGGAAACCGTTTAGAGAAACTTATGATGTGTAGATGTGCCACCACTGTTCTATTTCCCTACTTTTTTACTTTTTTCAGACTTTTTTGAGTTGCTGATTTTAAGTTTCCCCCCCCCCCTCTATTTCCCTACTTTTTTACTTTTTTCAGACTTTTTGAGTTTCTGTTTTTAAGTTTTCCCCCCTTGCTTCTCCCCCCCCGCTTTTTCCCCCTTCCACAATGGGAAATAATTTTTTTAAAAGGATAGGAAAGATGCAAGGAGCGGAAGACGGGGCAAAGACTTTTTTCTCCCCCCGTTAAGTTTTTTGCCTGTTCGCATTACCATGATCTGCAGATTTTCAATGTGCAGCACAGATCTCCTAGCGAAGGATTCCTACAGGCTGTGCATTTTAAAAAAAAATGTATACAGAACATCTTCCTTCATAGATTACTTCCCACTCACAGCACGGGGGCCAACAACGTCACCCGTCTGGGTTTCAGGGGCACAGTGCCCAGCAGGCACCCACATAAACCCACAGGACATGGGCCACCAGCTAGATCTACTGATTCTCAGCATTGCTGGGCTTGAATTGACAGCATGCCCTGGAAAACATTCCAGGCTCTATTGCATGCATGTGTATAAAGTGCGGTCAAGTTGCAGTAGACTTACGGGGTTTTCAAGACAAGAGACGTTCAAAGGTGGTCTGCCATTGCCTGCCTCTGCATCATGACCTTGGACGTTCTTGGTGGTCTCCCATCCAAATACTAACCAGGGCCGACCCTGCTTAGCTTCTGAGATCTAGTGAGACTGGGCTAGCCTGGGCCATCCAGGTCAAATCATGCTCTATTATGCAGAGGTAATAATATTGGTCTGACTTCAAAGGTTTTTGTGTGGACCGCAAGAGCATGTCTGTGGACCTCTTCGAGCACAGAAAGTGCTACGGGAATTGAAAAAGTATTATTATCTGGGGAAGACTTGGTGGTAGCCAAGTTGGTCCTCAACCTTCTAACTGAGAAAGAATTGATAGTCTTCCCAAGATCCACGAGGAGAAAGCGTTCTTTGAAAAAGGCTGGAAAACAGAGAATCGGGCAGAATCAATTTCAGCTGGCATAAAGACTCCTGCATGTCAATTTCGGCAGTAGGAGCCCATTCAAGAGTCTTTGGGCCAGCAGAATGTCAGTTTCAGCCCCATTATATCCTATGGGCCATTGAAGTCAATGGCGAAAACATAGGGTATATTCTGGGGGTTGGAGGGGAGGGGGTTTGAGAGAAAGGCTCCAAACTAACAGGGTAGCTGCTGGAGCCTCTCCCCAAGATACAAACCATGTCTGAAGAACATTGGACCAGGGAGTCCAATTCTATGGGCCCTCAAACAGGTTGCCCCTATCCAGTTTGGTGTAGTGGTTAAGTGTGCGGACTCCAATCTGGGAGAACCGGGTTTGATTCCCCACTCCTCCACTTGCACCTGCTGATGTGACCTTGGGTCAGTCACAAGCTCTGGCACAGCTGTCCTTGAAAAAGAGCAGTTTGTGTCAAGAGCTCTCTCAGCCCCACCCACCTCACAGGGTGTCTGTTGTGGGGAGGGGAAGGGGAAGGAGTTTGGAAGCCACTCTGAGACTCCAAGTGAAGGGCGGGGTACAAATCCAATCTCTTCTTCCTCCTCCTCCTCCTCCTCCCTCCATTGTTCTCTATGGTGGGGGGAAAAGTTACTTTTTTCCCACCATAGAGAACAATGGGGGGGATAGGGCAACCTGTTTGGGGGCCCGTACAATTGGACCCCCACTCTTTGGGGGAAGAAGTACTTCCTTTTATCTGTTCTAAACCCGACTGCTCAGCAATTGCATTGAGTGACCATGAGTTCTTGTAGTGTAAGAAAGGAAGAAAAGTACTTCTTTCTCTACCTGCTCTATCCCATGCATAATCTTGTAAACCTCTATCATGTCACCCCTCAGTCTGCTGGCTGTGTTAGGTTTCCCCATTGGAAACAATGGAGGGAATGGGAGCAGCCTGTTTGGGTGCCCATAGCATTGGATCCACTGGTCCAATGTCTTTGGGACTTGGGGGTTTCTGTGGGGAGAGGCTCCAGCAGCTACCCTGCAAATTTGGAGCCTCTCCCTCAAACCCCCTTCCCCACCAGCCCCCAGAATATACCCTGTGTTTTCGCCATTGACTTCAATGGCCCATAGGATATAATGGGGCCGAATGGCAGCAATTCGGCGGCAAACCCGAAAGGTGTCCGAATGGGCCATTTTCGGGGGTGCATTTGGTTCAGATGAACCGAATGCACATCCCTACTCACAACCCAAGACAGAATATGGAAATCGCTTTCCAGTGGCTTCCATCTTGAGGGATTCAGAGAGCAGAAAATCACCTGGCATCTATTTCTGTGAAAGAAGCGGGGGGGGGGGGCAGCATCAATACTTGGTTCTGCTTCTCAGACCTCCCCCCCCCCCCCCCCCACCCTTGGATGCTGCTCTGTCAATTTTCTTGATCAAATGCATCATCCCCAGGAGACAAATATTCACCCTCTGCTGTGCATCTTCTTTAATATTAAATGAACAGCTGCTTATTTACCAGGGCTCACACTGTGTTGCCGGCTTAAGCTATCCACAGGCTTCCCCGGCTGGCTGCAAATATACATCATCGGGCACTCTGCGACTGAAACCAAGTCATGAAATAAAGATTGACAGAGGTCTGTGAAGAGGTAATATTAAGTGACAGTTTCGACACAAAACCAGTATCACCTAGGTAAAGGTAAAGGTTTCCCTTCCTCGAAAGCCAGTCGAATCTGACTCTAGGGGGCGGTACTCATCTCCGTTTCCAAGCCAAAGAGCCAGCGTTGTCTGAAGACTTCTCTGTGGTCATGTGGCCAGCATGACTAAGCGCCGACGCACACGGAACGCTGTTACCTTCCCACAGAAGTGGTACCTATTTATCCACTTGCAATTTCTTGCTTTCGAACTGCTAGGTTGGCAGGAGCTGGAATTAGAGACGGGAGTTCACTCTGTCACGCGGCACTCGGGTCTCGAACTACAGACCTTCCGGTCTGCAGCTCAGCATCTTAACCTACAGCAGCCTTATTTCAGGATGGAATTGCGTAATACAAAGAAACACGTAGCTGCTGCCAAAAATGGAAGCTGCACGTAGCACTTCCTTCCCCATTACTTCTAATACTGAAATCTAGTAGACGTTATTTCTGGTGCCATTAGGGTAAGGGTTTCCCCTGCCCTGCTCCCCAACATCACCTACAGTAGGCTTATTCCAGGGTAGAATTACACAGTACAAAGAAACACACAGCTGCTGCCCAAAATAGAAGCTGTGTGTAGTGACCCATGAAAGCTCATACTCTGCCAAAATTTTTGTTAGTCTTTAAGGTGCTCCTGCATTCTTCCTCTTTTCTACTGCTACAGATGACAAACACGGCTACCCATCTTGATCTATCTCCATTACATCTAGTTACTGAAATGTAGTAGACAGTGTACCCCTCTAAGATGAGTTAGTGTGAGCTAGCTCACAGTTTTTCAGCCTCCGGCTCACACGTTTTTGTCTTCGCTCAGGAAGGATGGCTCCAGAGCAAACTAATTTATGTAGCAGCCAAATCACTTGCTCACAGCTTTTATGCCAGTAGCTCACAAAGTAGAGATTTTTGCTCACAAGCTTAGAGGGAACCTTATTTCTGGTGTCATTGTGGTAAGGATTTCACTCCCAACGCTACCCGGAAAACAGAATCGTGACACTACAACACCAAGTAAATTAAACTAGGAGATTATAGAGTGGGAGGGAAGAACTCTATACTTGACATCTATTTTCAGCAGTAGCTGTGTGTTTATGACGTCTCTCTGACCCCCAAAGAGAGAGTGCTTTCAAGAGGCATTTAAACCAAGGCCTCAGCCAAAATTACTAGTTTTTTCACAGGTAACGCCAAAGCCGTTTTGAAACCCTCCTTGTGAAATTGGTCACCTGTTCATTTGCATCGCCCTCCGACTCAACAGCTGTTACTGACCTACCCAAATCTGACGAATAGATTTTCAGCTTTGCCATCTTCGGTTATTGAGGGCAGATATAACAAAATTGCCTGGTCTGAGAGCTTTTGCCCTTGTAACAGTGGTGAGATAGAGTCAAGGTCTTTCTTCGCTGTTCATTTTACAATGAAAATCGTACTGCCCTTATCTCCCCGTTACTTGAGCTCTGTCCTGACACCTCCGATTCTGGGATCAGTAACACACTTCTCTCTGATGTGAGCATAGAGATCACCCGGAAAGTTGCTAAAATCTGCTCCCAAGCGATTTCCCATATATATTTCCCAACTTAATGTGGAAGATAGTAGCTAATTGTATTCTATATTATAATTTCAATGTTAGAAACGACTGTATTTCTATTAGTATTAGTTTTAATTTACTTTTATACACGTCTACACACACACCCAAAACCTTTATTGGCATGAAAGCACAAAACGTCGTGGAAATACGGGGAAATACTAAGATGCATCAGTCACCTGCATTTGGCTATTCAAGCCTCGTCTTCTGATTGCATAATATAAAAATTGTGCAACAGCCTCCATTATTTCGCAATTAGAATTAAACAGAAGAAAGTGAACACTTGAGTCCTCAGAGTGCCAGCTCTTACCCTCTAGAAGTGGAGTAATAAAACGAGATCGGATATCCCTATAGAGGGGGCAATGAAGTATGGTGTGTGTAGTGGATTCTATATCTTTTAGAGAACAAGGGCAAAGTCTGTCTATATATGGTATCTGGCGGTACCTCCCTAAACGCACCTCTGATGGCAGAACATTAAAGCGTGCAAGCATGTATGCTCTGTGATGATGTGGAGCTGTTAAACTTGACAGATACTTCGCAGTAGAGCCCGGGTCAAAGTCCCCAACCTGCTTGGGGAGCATCTGCTGGCTGCGCGTTCCATAAATTCTTGCCTTTCGATGTCGAGAAATCTTTGTTTAATTATACACTTCTATATTTGCAAACCTTAATTTTTATATGGTCATTTTAATTTTATTTTTCCTTACTGATATGTATTCTGGTCATGGACTGTAAATAAAGTATTGATTGATTGATTGCCTGGTTATGATTTTTGTTTACCAGTGTTACGTGACATTACCACATTGGACGCAGCGGTATGACATCATCTCACTCACCAGATGATCCCTGATTGGGCCAGTTCACCGGGGGCGACTAGGATCAAAAAGGCAGCAGACGCCACCATGGGAAAATTCTGTACCGAACCACTGCGAACATTCACACAATCACAAATACTTTTTAAAGGAAAGATTCCTCGTGTGCCAAAACACGTCAACCCCCAAATTGGATCTGGCAAACATTCAAAGCGCCCTTTACTTCAAACTAGGACATAAATCCTTTGTTTACTCATTCGAGCATTTCCGTTTCTTACCCTTTTGTTGTCGGCCGGGCTGTGGTAGAACTGAGTAATCACCACTTGGCTGTTGTTCCCTGGGCCAAAACTGAATCTGTCCGATATCTTCTTAAATGTTTTCCCGTAATCGTAGGACACATAAACCTAGCAAGGAAAGAGGGCAGCATTATAAATCAAGCAGCTGGTTTCTCGGGGGTCCCCAACACGTCCAGATGTTTAAAAAACTGCTTCGACGGCAATGGCTACCACGATACAAGGATCTTCACTGTGTGGCTGACGGCAAGCTGTGCGTCTGCTGGAAAACATTTTAAATAATATGTTCATTTTCATTTACCTTTGTTGGTAATCTTGCAACTTTGATAGGTGAGTTTTATGGATCTTAATGTGTGAAGGATAGGATAAATAGTTTCAAAAATGTGTTCATTGTACACTTATTGGAAGATAATAACGATATCTATGACCATATACCATACAAAGGCCCCGGTCACACAGAGCATTAGGCACGCTAGAGAGATGGAAGATAGGCAGATTTTCCGGGTGCAATCTCACCGCCACATCTGGGAAGCGTAGAGCTCCCGTGGCGCACCCGAGGCTTCCCGCGGAAGATGCGGGGTAAAAAACTAGTGCCTCGGAGGTACTAGTTTCTGGAAACCATGGGGCAAGGGCAGGCGTCTGATCACGTTTCCGGTGGTAGTTCCGGCGCCTGCCCATGTCCCCTCGCAAAAAGGGGTTTTTTTCCCCAAGTCTCCACGGATGCGCACAAGCACCCAACAAAGCATGCGCACATTTAAGTTTTAAAAACAAAACACAACCCCGTTTGCTGCACCGCTCCGCTTCTTTGCCGCTTGTGTGATCAGCACCTCCCCCCTAACCACGGGAGCTCGACAGGACCTCAACCCGAAGCCTGATCACGCAGTCGCGCGTTAGTTTGCTCCGGGGCAAACAGCCATGCCTCCCCCCCGCATTTTCCTGCCCGTGTGGCCGAGGCCATAGACCATGAATGTTTTAAAGTTTTAGAATTTTAAGGTTTTACTGTTTAAGCTTGACTTCTATCTCAATAAAAAAATTTAAATGTTCATTTTAAAAGGCATCCCATTACGCAGAGCTTCTGCCCGAAATGTTGACGTGCTACTATTAAAGTTATGCACGGCTTCATTCCTTGACGTTTTGTGGCTGGCTGTGGTTTAGCCCACCGCCCTCTGTCACAGAATTCCAAAGGTGCCTGCAGGCTCGAAAAGGTTAGGGACCCATGCATTACACCATCTTTTTAAAAAGCAGACGCTAAGAATCCTGTTTCTTTAAAGGACAGAAGGGTACTACAACACTGCAACAGGCCATAGCGCTGCACTGGGTTTCTACATCGCAGGGCTATGGCAGCTGCCCTCTTAAGCGGGAAGCCACCCATGACAGCATCTTGATTATTTCTTAGGAAAGAGTCCAGACTATAGCAGCAGCTCGGCTCGGTAGTGGTAGAGGTAAGTTGGAGGACAGAGGGCTAACAGAACAAGGAGTGTGAATTCCCCCGCTACCAGCTAATTACTTACAAGGCAGTTCCACAATGCGACATCAAAGACACTTGCTCCCAAAGCAACAGCACAAAGGTTTTGAGGGTTCTTCGGTATTCAGCCCATGCCATTCTTGACAATTTATAGTGAGGCAGACTCAAAAATGTAAGAACATAAGAGAAGCCATGCTGGATCAAGCCAGTTTGGTGTAGCGGTTAAGTGCGCGGACTCTAATCTGGGAGAACCGGGTTTGATTCCCCACTCCTCCACTTGCACCTGCTGGATGCCCTTGGGCAAGCCGTAGTTCTCTCAAGAGCTGTTCTCTCAAGGACAGTTCTGGAAAGAACTCTCTCAGCCCCACCTACCTCACAGGGTGTCTGTTGTGGGGAGGGGAAGTGAAAGGAGTTTGCAAGCTGCTCTGCGAGTGAAGGGCGGGATATAAATCCAATCTCCTCCTTCTCCTCCTCAATGGATCCAACCTGGTTTGGATCCAACCAGGAGGTTCCCCCTTAAAGAGCTACTGATTTAAATTCCATGGATAGGCGATAAAGAAGTGAAACTTCCGTGTTCCTGAATCTTTATTATACTGATCTGCTAAACGTGTTTCTACCGGAGATGTCATTTGTCAACCGAATACGTAAAGCGACTGTCAGGCAACCTATCTATCCCTTTATCACAAGCTCAAACAATGAGCCGACTTGCCCAAATTCTATCTACCTTCCAACTCCAAAGGAGCACTCAGGATGTTGTGGAGTGAGGATATGTGAGAAGGAACGAAAATGCAATTTCAGGAAAGCGAACCAATAAAAACCAAAAAATAAATCCATTATTAGCGCAGAACACTAAAAGCAGCAAAGCCAATTGGAAGCAGTAAAAAAAAAATTCAGCGAGAAAATACCTTAACATTATCTGAAGGCAGCAGTAAACTATACACGGGATCACAAAACAGCAAACGGAAGCAGTGTTGACATCTTTATGGATACTGATGGAAGTACTTGTACCCCCTCCCTTCCCCCCACCCCAAGGAGGCCCACATAACACATGAATAAAACAAATCAAAAACAAAATCTAACACACTGCAAAAAGTGGGCACTGTTATTCCACACAAAAAACCCAAAAAGCAAAACAAAACCCCAGAAATATTCTGCCTGCAGTTAGTCAACATCCTCTTAAGGAAAACCAATGGGCATGCCTTACAAAAGACCAGCAAGGCAAATCTAAGATATTTGTATCAAAAGCCTGCAGCATAAACTCCTTAAAGAATTCCTCTCCCTACATCTTCCTCTAATTCGACACCTTGGCAAGCATCACTAACATCCATGCATCTTGGGACTGTATCCCACGATGCAGCAGGGTACCTGGTTGCTATGGGGAAGGGCAAGGAGGTGCTCACTGGAGACACTCCTAGAGAATGCTGGGAACAAACTCTTAAAGAAGACGGAATACACAACTATAGCAGCACCAATACATTATTGACCCCTCTGGTTTCATGGGAAACCTCTGTGCAATAACAGAAACACACTAAACAGAATCAGAACACTCTATCAGGAGGGGGACGTAGCATAGTCACGAACAGAGCACCGGGCGTTACAAGCTGTGGCTGGTTGGCTCAGGCTCAGCCGGTTGAAACTAAACCCGTCAAAGACGGTGGTCCTGGGCCTGAGTCGGATCGGCGCGGGTCTGGGGCTCCCTCGCCCGACCTTCGATGGGGTGCCTTTGGTGCCAGCGTCAGAGGTTAGGAGTTTGGGGGTGCGCCTGGACGCCTCTTTAATGATGGAGGCCCAGGTGGCAGCCACTGCCAGGGCGGCCTTTTACCATCTTTGGCTGACTCGGCAGTCTGTCCCCTACCTTAGCCGTGAGGACCTGGCCACGGTGATCCATGCGACGGTCACCTCAAGGCTAGACTACTGTAACGCTCTCTACATGGGGCTGCCTTTGTCGCAAGTCCGGAAGCTGCAGCTAGTGCAGAATGCTGCGGCCAGGCTGTTGATGGGTCTCTCGATGAGGGACCACATTTGGCCTGTGCTGAAAGCGCTGCACTGGCTGCCAATAGCGTACCAGATCGCTTAAAAGTGCTGGTTTTCACCTTTAAAGCCCTTTATGGCCAGGGTCCAGCCTACCTGAGGGACCGCCTTTCTCCATATGTTCCCCCAAGGGCACTACGGTCGGGGGGGCGTCATCTCCTGGAAATTCCAGGCTCGAGAGACGTTAAATTTGCGGTGATCAGGACCAGGGCATTTTCGGTGGCGGCTCCTACCTGGTGGAAGGAGCTCCCGGAAGAGATCCGGGCCCTGCGGGACCTCTCTCAGTTCCACAGGGCCTGCAAGACGGAACTCTTCTGCCAGTCCTTTGAGTAGGAGCCGCCACCACTACAATTCCACCTTTGCCCGCTATGCTCTAGCGTATTAACATCATTTGCCTGGCACCCCAAGGGGGGAGCGAGGCGCCTGGGCACAGCTTAGATGATAAGATCTTAGGAAGTAGTTATGGAAGTTAAGATCTACCCATATTGTCTAAATCTGTGTGTAAATTTGTTATTGTATTGTACTGTAATTTATTGCTTTTAAACTATGTGTTTACTGTTTTAACCTCGGCACACGGTGCCCTTGTTAGCCGCCCTGAGATATAAATTCAAATATAAATAAATAAATATAAATGTGAAGACTTTTTCCATACTAAGCCCACTGATTTTAGCATTTGGTATCTGAAGAAGTGAGCTTATGAAAGCTCCTCCTCTGCCACATATTTTTGTCAGTCAAGAAGAAGAAGAAGAAAAGAGATTGGATTTATACCCCGCCCTTCACAACCCAAAGGTGTCTCAGAGCGGCCTACAAACTCCTTTCCCTTCCCCTCCCCACAACAGACACCCTGTGAGGTAGATGGGGCTGAGAGAGTTCTGACAGAAACGGCTCTTTTTCAAGAACAGCTCTTATCAGAACTACAGCTTGCCCAAGGTCATCCAGCAGCTGCAAGTGGAGGAGTGGGGCATCAAACCTGGCTCTCCCAGATTAGAGTCCGCGCACTTAACCACTACTTAAGGTGCTACTGGACTCTTGCTCTTTTCTACTGATTTTAGCAGGTTTAGACTGGAGTGACTTTGGACAGGATGGCTTCAATGTAAGAGAGTGAGCAGTGATTCAGGAGACGGCTTGTTCCAGTCTCACCTATGCTACCTGGCAGCCTTTGACAAGGCACACCCTTTCCTCATTGGCTCCCACATCGGTAATTACAGGCTCACCTCGCATGGCTGTTCTCAGGATTACTGTGATGGTGATATTTACTTAGCACATTTACATGCCACCTTTCCATTCAAATACTTCTTGTGTTGTTATTGTTGTTACTACTGTTTTGCTTGTTGTTATCTTCTTATAAATGAGTTATTGTTTTCTTCTTTGACGAATAACAAAATAAAAACGTTTTAGAAAAAATAAATAAAAAGGCAGTACTTTGGGATGGAAAGAGCTGCATATATAATAGGTGTTATGGCTGGCTTAGTTCGGACGCTGCACAAAACCCTGGTTTAATTCAACTAACTACGGTTAGTGTGACTGTCTGAATGTGGGCCGTTCCAGAAACAACGGTCAGTTAGGGCCCATCCAACCAGAATCTGAAGTTGATTTCTTAACCACAGTTGGTCTTTAGGGGAGAGGTTGTGGCTCTGTGGTAGAGCATTTACTTGGCATGATGAAGAAGAAGAAGAGGAGGAGGAGGAGGAGGAGGAGGAGGAGGAGATTGGATTTATACCCCGCCCTTCACTTGGAGTCTCAGAGCGGCTCACAATCTCCTTTCTCTTCCCCTCCCCACAACAGACACCCTGTGAGGCAGGTGGGGCCGAGAGAGCTCTTTCGAGGACTGTCCTTGAGAGAACAGCTCTGACAGAACTATGGCTTGCCCAAGATCATCCAGCAGCTGCAAGGGGAGGAGTGGGGAATCAAACCCAGTTCTCCCAGATTAGAGTCCACACACTTAACCACTACACCAAACTGGCTGTCAGGTTCAATCCTCGGCATCCCCAGTTAAAAGGACCCGTCGGTAGGTGATGTGAAAGACCTCAGCCTGAGACCCCGAAGAGCAGCTGCCGGCCTGAGTAGGCAATACTGACTTTGATGGACCAAGGGTCTGATTCAGTATAAGGCAGCTTCATGCATTCAACTACGGGTGTCGTGTAAGACATCCTGCTTTAATCCTGGCCTGTTCCCTGGCTACACCCCCCACAGGCATCCACGAAGGAAATGAAAGGAGCACTTATTGAAGAAAACCAGGACACGAGTGATCATCTGTGAGCTGAATCGCGCGTTCAAAACCTAACCCTAGGTAAAACAAAGCACCGTTTTCGAGATGTCTGAACTGAGTCACTAGTTTTCAATGCAAAAAGGAACAACCGTTAGCCACTGGATTCAAGGGTACGGTCGATGATTCTCCCCACACCTCCCCCCAAACCCACAAACAAAACCACCCCTGCACACACTTACATCACTCAGCTTGGGTCCCAGCAAGGCTAAGCTGTCTCTGGCCAGGGCCACGATCACGTTACTCTTCTCTCCGGCCCAGTGAACCACCATCTGGTTGTGTGAATCGTTCAAGCTGACCTGGAAGGGGAACAGGAGAGAAACAGATTTTGAAAATGTTAAGAATAAATGGCATAGTTGTGGCAAAGAACGTTCCTCCGAGCAAAGTTTGCTACTGCAGGCCGACCAGAGAGTGGCGAAAAGGGTAGATGCTTATTCACAAAGGAAAGCATACATCTGCCATGTGAGTCAGAAGCTTCTGTTTGGTAAGGTGGTGGTGGTGGTGGTGGAGGAGGAGGAGGAGGAGGAAGAAGAAGAAGAAGAAGAAGAAGAAGAAGAAGAAGAAGAAGAAGAAGAAGAAGAAGAAGAAGAAGAAGAAGAAGAAGAAGAAGAAGAAGAAGAAGAAGAAGAAGAAGAAGAAGAAGAAGAAGAAGAAGAAGAAGAAGAAGAAGAAGAAGAAGAAGAAGAAGAAGAAGAAGAAGAAGAAGAAGAAGAAGAAGAAGAAGAAGAAGAAGAAGAAGAAGAAGAAGAAGAAGAAGAAGAAGAAGAAGAAGAAGAAGAAGAAGAAGAAGAAGAAGAAGAAGAAGAAGAAGAAGAAGAAGAAGAAGAAGAAGAAGAAGAAGAAGAAGAAGAAGAAGAAGAAGAAGAAGAAGAAGAAGAAGAAGAAGAAGAAGAAGAAGAAGAAGAAGAAGAAGAAGAAGAAGAAGAAGAAGAAGAAGAAGAAGAAGAAGAAGAAGAAGAAGAAGAAGAAGAAGAAGAAGAAGAAGAAGAAGAAGAAGAAGAAGAAGAAGAAGAAGAAGAAGAAGAAGAAGAAGAAGAAGAAGAAGAAGAAGAAGAAGAAGAAGAAGAAGAAGAAGAAGAAGAAGAAGAAGAAGAAGAAGAAGAAGAAGAAGAAGAAGAAGAAGAAGAAGAAGAAGAAGAAGAAGAAGAAGAAGAGGTGGTTGTGGTGGTGGTAGTAGTAGTAGTAGAAGAAGAAGAGGTGGTGGTGCTTTAGTATAAATAGGATGTCATTACAGTCAGTTGAAAGAAGTGTGTGTAGTGTTAACAGCTTTAGACATCTTGATTATCTGAAGACAGCATAGAGTATTAATGAATTTAAGAGCTTTCTGCACAAGCAGTTAACAACTGTTTACAAAACAAAAGAGGAGGAGGAGGAGGAAGAGGTGGTTGTGGTGGAGGAGGAGGAGGAGGAGGAGGAAGAGGTGGTTGTGGTGGTGGTGGTAGTCACTTCCCATTTCATTCCACTTCTTCAGCTTCCTGGTTCCCTGCCCTCCCAGCCATAGAAACATAAGAGCCTTCCTGGACCAGATGAAGGTTCTTCTAGTCTAGTATCCTGGTTCACACAATGGCCAATCCTCAGGGAGGCCCAAAGCCCCCTCCTGGTGGGGGTCTCCCACACAAACAAGGTATACTGTCCTTGAACATGGAGATTACATCTCGCCCTCATGGCTCATGGACACTGATAGCAGCCACCCATCTAGTAATTTGTCTAATCCTCTTTTAAGATCCTCAACACAAGTGTCCAGTCACTACACTCTGTGGCAATGAGTTCCACAGGTTAATGATACACTGCGTGAAGAATCTGCGCGCCTACATCATGGGACAGACATAATAACCCATGAATCAATCTGATGCCTATTTGTTTTATCATGGTGAAGAACTCTTGAAACAACGGAACATTAAGCACAAAAACACTCGTATTTTCTGCAGGATTGGCTTATTTTCACTTGCTGTTGAATTCTTTTTTTATTTTCATTAACACTGCCATCTGCTCTTTAGAAACAGACTCTAGTATTGACGCACACGAAACACGCCAAGCGCTGCAAACAAGCTCCAGGTTGTACAGAGCTACGCTGCGGCAAACAATTGCAGACCTTTTACCCAGACCTTTTACCTTAGTTACTACCTCAAATGAATGAATGAATGAATGAATGAATGAATGAATGAATGAATATGGCATTATTTATAGCACACACCTATGTATGTTTACACAGACCTAAATCCCACTGTGTTAGACGGCAATTACTCCCAAGAAACCATGCACAGGACTGCAGTGAATCTATCAGCTATGTCTGGATCAATGAAAACAGTGCCCCAGGGTCCTGACCTGGATAGCCCACGGAAGTCGGATCTTGTTACATCTCGGAAGCTAAGCAGGGCCGACCCTGTCAAGTACTTGGATGGGAGACCTCCTTGGAATACCAGCAGTCCAGAGGCGGGGGGAGGCTTTATTCGGCCACCTCTCTAAATATTCGCCAGGCCCCCAGGAGGGGTCGGTCATCAGAGGACGCCATGACTTCCAGGTACACACACACTCACACGCATGCGTACACACATGCAAAAAATACAAAAAAAAATACCAAGAGCAGTGTCCCAGATTAATCAGACAGGGTGTTTTTTAAATGCTCGTTATTTTTAATCTACATACTTACAAATGCAGAGGCACTTTCTAAAAGAGACATTCCTCCATGTCTCTTGGACAAGAAAGAATGCCTTTTCCATCCCGGCATCTACAACAACATGGGTACCTCATCGAAGAAACAGAGGCTCGGTTAAGACATGGCACTAAATCATAATTAAGGAAGCTTAGCTATGGTTTGTGTGACTGTATTCTGATGTGACTGTATTCTTGGTGCCGGGGGGGCAACAGTGGGAGGGCTCCTGGTGTCCTGGCCCCACTGCTGGACCTCCTGATGGCACCTGGTCTTTCTGGCCACT